TTTACATCTCTTCCACTTGAGCCCTGCAGTTCTTCCACTTGAGCCCTTAGCAGTAAAGACAGAGGCAAAGAAGGCATTTAGTAACTCTGCCTTCTCGGCATCCTCCGTCACCAAGGCCCCTTCCCCATTCAGCAGTGCACTAACATTTTCCCTCGTCTTCCTCTTGCTATTGACATACTTACAGAAACCCTTCCTGTTGTCCCTGACATGCCTTGCCAACTCGAACTCCACCCGGGCTTTGGCCTTCCTCGTTTCGCATCTGCATTCTCTGACGATGCGCCTGTATTCCTCCCACGTGGCCTGTCCCTTCTTCCACAAGCTGTACACTCTTCTTTTCTCGTTCACTTTGCCCAGCAGTTCCTTACCCATGCATACAGGTCTCCTACCCCGCTTACTCGACTTCTTTCTTGTGGGAATACACCGATCCTGAGCTTGGAGGAGGTAGTGCTTGAATATCAGCCAGCTCTCCTGGACTCCCTTTCCTCCTAGGACCCTGACCCAGGGGACTGCTCCAAGGAGCTTCCTGAAGAGGTCGAAGTTGGCTCTCTTGAAGTCCAGGGTAGCTATCCTACTTCTCGTCCCACCTCCTCCACGCCGGATCGTGAATTCCAACATCTCRTGCTCGCTGCAGCCCAGACTGCCCCCAACCCTCACATTTCCCACTAGACCGTCTCTGTTTGTTAGTATCAGGTCTAGCAGCGCCCCTCCCCTTGTTGGCTCCTCAACCACCTGYGTCAAGAAGTTATCTGCAATGTTCTGCAGGAACCTCCTGGACTGTCTGTTCCTGGCTACGTGGTTTTCCCAGCAGATATCAGGGTGGTTGAGGTCCCCCAGGAGGACCAGGGCCTGTGATCGGGAGGCTTCCCGCAGCTGCCCATAGAAGGCTTCGTCCACTTCCTCGTCCTGGTCAGGAGGCCTGTAGTAAACTCCCACCACCGTGTTGCCCCTGCTGGCTTGCCCCTTTATCCTCACCCACAGGCTCTCTACTCGCGTTCCATTCTCCCCTATGCTGAGCTCTATGCATTCCAGTTGTTCCCTCACATAAAGAGCAACTCCGCCGCCTCGCCTTGCTGCCCTGTCCCTCCTGAAAAGCCTATAGCCCTCCATGGCCACATTCCAGTCATGGGAGCTGTGCCACCATGTCTCAGTAATTGCAATGAGATCACGGCCCTGTAGCCGCACGTGCATCTCCAATTCCTCTTGTGTATTCCCCATGTTGCGTGCATTTATGTAGAGGCATTTGAGCGGGGCTCCCAATGTGCCTCTCCTCCTTGTCGGGACAGCTGCAGCCTGACTGAGGGGGGATATGATCAGTGTGTATAAATACCTCCAGGGAGGCAGTGAGGAGGATGGGGCGGCTTCTTTTCTGTGGTGGCCCGTGACAGGACTAGAGGAAATGGCCACAAACTGAAGCACCAAAAGATGCGTGCAACCGTGTCTCTGAAGGGTATAAAAGTCAAGCGTGCGGACCTAACACGTGTGCGCGGGGCCAAGGGGGAATACGGGCCTCTCTGTGGTCTCTCATGGCCTCCATGTGCATGGGACTGCGGACAGCCTAGGAGACAGCCCGGGGGGCCTCCATGCGCATGAAGCTAGGGGGCCCTACGTGGCTCTATGCAGCCTCCTAGGACCTCCATGTGCACAGGGAAGGGGAGGCCCTTCAGGACTTAATGAGCTCTTAAGGGGCCTCAGTGAGCACTGGGACAGGGGTGCCATACAGGCCTCGGTACACCCCACTGTGGCCTCTGTGGGCACAGGGGGATGCTATGGGCCTCCATGCGGCCCACCAGCACCTCTGTGTACATGGGAGGCTGTACAGGCCTCCGTGCGCACTCCTGTAAGTGCCATGCGCATGGGGCTGGGGTAGCCCTATGGGCCTCTGTGAAGATTCTTGGGGCCCTCATGCATAGGGGCCCACGGGGGCCCAACAGGTCTCCATGTGTCCCCCAAGAGCCTCCATGTGCATGGCACAAGGGGGCCTTACAGGCCTCCATGCGCCCCCCTGTGTACACAGAGCCACCGGCATCCTGCAGGTTTTCACGCAGCTGCCCAGGTCCTCCACGCACACGGGGCCAGGGCGGGCGGCCATATGGGCCTCTGTGCGGTGGGGCCTCCATGCACATGGCACAAGGAGGGCCCTACGGGCCTCAGTACAACCCCCCGGGCCTTCGTGCACACTGGGCCCAGGGGAACCTAAGGGCCTCCGTGCAGCCCTCTGTGACTGCCATGCGCACGCAGCTGGGAGGACCCTATGGAACTCCGTGCGTTCCCCTGAGGCCTCTCTGCACATGAGGATGGCAGGGCCCTAGGATCTTCCGTGCAGCCCCCCCTGGGGCTCTGTGCTTATGGGGCCAGGGGTCCCTATGGGCCTTCATGCAGCCCCCCCAATGGGCTCCATGCATACATGGCTGGGGGAGCCTCATGGGCCTTTCTGCAGCCCACTGGGGTGTCCGTATGCTTTGGGCCAGGAGGGCTGTAAGGACCTCCGTGCAACCTTGTGGGGCATTTGTGGGTACCGAGGGAGGTTGGATCCTCTGGGCCTTCGGGGGGCCCTCTACGGCTTTCATAGAAACAGGGCCGTGAGGGCTCTACTGGCCCAACTGCAGCCCCTTGCAGCCTCTGTGCACACATGGCTGGGGATGTCCTACTGTCCTCAGTGCTGCCACCAGAGACCTCCATGAGCACAGGTCTGGGGGGTACCTATGGGACTGGGTGCGACGCCGCAGGCCTCTGTGTGCACGGGACCTGGGGTGGCCTGTGGGCCTCTGTGCGGCCACCCGGAGCCTCCTTGCACACAGGGCTGAGGTGGCCCGACGATACTCTGAGGGATACTCCATGTGAATGGATGCCCCAGGCGTCCACCCGCAGACCAGTAGAAGACACCAACTTCTGCAGAGTCCTTGAGGCACCACTCAGAGGCCCATAGGGTCCCCTCACCCAGTGTGCGCTGAGGTCTGCAGGGCCCCCTGGCCCTGTGCACATGGAGGACCCTGGGGCCACTTGGATGCCCGTAGGACACCACTGGTCCCCTATGCATGGAGGCCCGAGGAGGCCACATGAAAACTTATATGTCCCCCCCATCCTTTACACATGGAGGCCCTGGGGAGCCACATGGAAGCCCATAGGGACCCCTGCCCTGTGCTCATGGAGTCCCTGGAAGGACCATACAAAGGCTTGTATGGCACCCCCAGCTCCATGCGCAAAGAGGCCCTGGAGGGGTCGTATGACGACCCACAGGGTGCCCCCGACTGCATGTGCACAGAGGCCCTGGGCCTGAAGGCATGTAGGGCCTCCAAACCCCATGCACACAGAGGCCATGGTGGGTCCTACCAAGCCCTGTAGGGCCCTCCCAGCCACGGGTTCCCAGAAGCCTGGGGGCCACCTGGAGTCCTGTATGGCCCAAGGGGCTGCAGTGAGGCCCATATGGCCGTCCTGGCTCCATGAGCCCAACTATCCTGGTATCCCCTCTATCCCAGTACCTCCACTATCCTGATGCCCCCCCTTCCTGTTGCCCCCCTATGCTGGGCCCTCCCTATCCCGGTGCCCCCCTATCCTGGTGAACCCCTTCCCCACACCCCTGTTCCCGGTGCACTCCCCCATCCTGGTGCCCCCTATCCCAATGTCCCCCTATCCCAGTGACCCCCCCCATCCCAGTGCCCTCCCTATCCTGGTGACCCCTTTCCTGGCGCCCCTGTTCCTAGTGCCCCTCTTCTCAGTGCCCGCCCCCCATCTCCGTGTCCCCCTATCCACCTGCTCCCCTATCACGGTGTCCTCCCTATCCTGGTGAACCGCTTCCCGCTTCCTGGCGCCCTTGTTCGTGTTGCCCCTCTTCCCAGCACCCTCCCCCCCCGCTAATCCCGGTGTCCTCCTATCCCAGCCCCCTCTATCCCAGTGCCCCCCTATCCTGGTGCCCCCCTTCCTGGTGCCGCTGTTGCCGGTGCCCCTCTTCCCAGCGCACCCCACCAATCCCGGTGCTCCCTATCCCGGTGTCCCACTATACCAATCCCTGCCAGACTACAACTCCCAAGAGGCCGCGCGGCGCCACGTGACCCAGCGCAGCGGCGGCGGCGGGAGATTCAAATCCAGGGCGGAGCAGCCGCAGCCATGGAGGCACCGGGAGCGGCACCGGGAGCGGCACCGGGAATGGCGCGCTGTGAGTGTCCGCGCGGCTCGGGTCCGCGCTCAAAAGCCAAATAATATTCATTAATAATATATGAACTGTCCGTTTTTGCCCGTGTTCGCGGTCCAGCCCAGCGCCCCACGGCTGACGAGATAGATGAGTGGCGGCGGCAGCAGGTCGCCTACCAGTACCTGTGTCATTTGGAGGAAGCCAAGCGGTGAGCAGCCCCCTTCCTGGCGGAAAAGGGTGTGGGAATGGTGGGGGACGGGATGGAGAGGGGGCTCTGGAGTGGAGAAGGGCTCAAGCAGGACAGGGAATGGGATTGTGAGTCTCCCCTGCCCTTGTCCCCCTGCAGCTGGATGTGGCCTGGGGGTGTTGGGGCTCCCCTGCCCTGTGTCCCCCTGCAGCTGGATGTGGCCTGGGGGTGCTGAGGACCCCCACTGTGTCTCCCTGCAGCTGATTGTGGGATAGAGGTGCTGAGGATACACCTCCTATGTCCCTGTCTGGATGTGGGATGGCAATGCTGAGGGCCCCCCATATTCCCCTGCAGCTGGATGGAAAGTTGCCTGCGCGAGGAGCTGGACCCCCCAATGGAGCTGGAGGAGAGCCTGCGCAACGGCGTCATCCTCGCCAAGCTGGGCCACTGCTTCGCCCCGGAGCTCGTGCCCCTGAAGAAGATCTACGACCGCGAGCAGCTGCGCTACAAGGTACCCTCGCTTCTGCACTGTGCCTTTGTACAACCCCCAGCAGGGGAAAGGATGAGCTTGAGCTGAAGCAATGCCGTTTGCTCCTGTCTAGGCAAGCGGGCTCCACTTTCGGCACACGGATAACATCAACCACTGGCGCGATGCCATGAGCCACGTGGGACTTCCCTCGGTAACATGTCCCCTTGGCTCCCCTAGGCTGGCTTTGCTAGGAATCCTTCCTGGTGGGGCCCTGCCAGGGCTGCATGCCACAGGGCCAGAGATGGGACACACCTGGGGGACATGCCAAGGGGCTTCCCCTTGTCAGGATTCCCTGCCCCATGTGGCCCCACGTGGACCGCTTGGATTCAGGTGTGACCCCTGTGTCCTCGGCAGATTTTCCACCCAGAGACCACCGATGTCTATGACAAGAAGAACATGCCCCGTGTAGTCTACTGCATCCACGCGCTCAGGTGAGTGCCCACAAGTGTCCCCTGTCCTGCTCCCAAGGCCAAAAGAGTTGTCTGGGTTCATGTCTGTGGTATCAAGAAGTCTATGGTGGCCATGGGACTGCCAAATCCTCCTCTCACCATGAGGCTGCAGAGCCCTCTCCATGTCCAAAGCCAATGAGTATTTCAAGCACTGTGGTGGGTGGGGAAGCATGTGGCACAGCAGACACTGCATGTGTCCACTTCACCTTCCAGCTTGTACCTGTTCAAGTTGGGGCTGGCACCACAGATCCAGGATTTGTACGGGAAAGTGGACTTCACAGGTAGGAACCCGCGGCGGGAAGGCTGGGCCAGGGCTGGTGAAATCCATGCTACATACTCGGATCCCTTCATGGAAAGGGATGCTGAGAGTAAAGATTTCAAATGAGCCTTGGTGACGCTGGCTCTGCTGCGGGCATCTTCTCTGCCCTCGGTGGAGGAGTTGGGGACTACACATGGCTCCAGTGACATCTCCACTCCACTGCAGAGGAGGAGATCAACAACATGAGACGGGAGCTGGAAAAGTATGGCCTACAGCTGCCCTCCTTCAGCAAGATCGGCGGCCTCCTGGCCAATGAGCTCTCGGTGGACGAGGCAGCAGGTGAGCAGAAACCACAGGGCGAGTGGGGACCTGCATCTGCCTATAGTGGCATCGCTTTAGGGATTCCTGTGCTGGAATACCGAATCTCGAGGTAGTCCAGCAAGCCAAGCTGGACTCGAAGCAAACCTCGTGGTGCTTTGGAGGTGACCCCAACACCTCCTAAATGCAGCTTTGGTACCTTGCTGCCCTCCTGAAGACTGGCTTGGGGCTGGCACATCTCCTTCGCAGTTGGGGTTGGTGTTAGCTGGTCTTGCGCTGGAGCAATTGAGCCTGCCTAAGCAATGGAGTCTGCCCTTTGAGAAGGGACGTCCTCCATAGCCATGCAGGAGATGGCTTGTCCTGCCACACACAGGCTAGAGCTTGTGTGGAGCTTGTGTAGATGGTGGAGAGTTTCTTGCCATCCTTGGTGCCTCGCTCCAGCTCTTCCAAAGCTCCTTCCAACCTTGTCCCCAGTGCATGCAGCTGTGCTGGCCATTAACGAAGCACTGGAGAGGGGGATGGTGGAGCAGACCATGGAGGCGCTGCGCAACCCCAATGCTATGCTGCTCAACCTGCGAGAGCCCGCGGCAGCCGCCTACCAGGAGCTGCTCCTCCAGGCAAAGCTGGAGAAGGCCAGCAATGCCAGGAACAGGGTAAGTGTGGCCCAGAGGGGTCAGAAGGACCGATGCCTTCTCTTGTGGTAGGTGCTTCCATCTAGAGGGGTTGGTTCTTGGTCACAGGTTGGCATTGTGCCTGGCTAATGAAGCCCAGACCTTATATTCATCAAAAGATAAGAGAAGGTGGTGGAGGAAACGATTCTTGTTGCACATTAGCCACAGGGCCTGGGGATGACTAACAGGACAGATGTCTCCAGAGGGTCCCCTCTGACAACCCACAGCTAGTGTTATGCAGAAAACTGATGGTGGGGAATCCACGTGCAGGTACTGGAGACAATCCCAGATGGGGAGGACGTCTATGACCGGTGTCTGACGCAGGCTGAAATACAAGGGAACATCAACAAAGTGAATGGTGAGCAAAATTACAGATGTTCATCTGAAGGTGAGAGGGGTCTCCAGGGCTGCTGCTGTGGATACAGAGGTTATTGGGCAAATCCAACCTGACCCTGGCAATTCCAGGCTGGAATGAAGAGCCTAGCCGGGAAGTTGGATGTAGCGGACAGGAAATGTCTTCTCAGGTTGGCCTCGGGCCTGGCAGGGTTGGCTGGGTGTTTGCAAAGAGAAATTAAAGCTCTTGGCATGTGGCCTTGTGGTTCAGGTTTCTTATCATTAGAGCCATGGGGTAATTTACCTCTCTGGCCTCTCTAGTCCATGGAGCTTTGGAGCAAGTGGATGATGCCCTGGAGAACCAGGATGCCTGGGAACTGTACCAGGCACTGCAGGACCCAGTCCTGGCTCTGCGCAGTCTGCAGCATGACAACCTTGACTGCTATTTGGAGCAGCTCGTCATGGACCGGGAGCAGAAAGCGCAAGTAGGAGCCTGGCAGGTGGGGATACCTGTGCTAGCGTGGCACCTGGCATAGTTTTAACAGTGGTGCCCTAGGTGGATAGGGCTCCATGCCCAAGAAGAGGTGCTCTGCAGAGCTGTGGGCTTTCTGTAAAGCACTTTGAGCCGTGGCCAAGGGGGTCTTGGTGTCCCTTGCAGGACCTGGGCTACGTGGACCTGCTGGAGCAAGAGGAGCTGCAGGCTGGGATCCTAGCAGCAAACAAGAAGGGAGAGGAGAAGCGAGCGAGTGAGTGGCCTGGGCTGGGGTGGGGGCATGCCGTCTTCCAAGGCGCTCTATGGAGGTGTCACCACAGGGCTCAGTCACAAGGCCATCCCCTGCCAACTGGCTTCACTCCCTGTGCTCAGTGTTGCAGGCCGTGAGCCGCATCAACGTAGCTGTGCGTCGGGGGGCACCGGCTGAAACACTGGTGGCACTGGCAGCCCCGGAGGCGCAGCTGCCTGCTGTGCATCCGTTCGCCGCCCCGCTGTACCAGCGCGAGCTCGCCCTGCTGCAGCGGCAGCATCCGCGGGTGAGAGCGTTGTCCCGAACGCAGCCTTGGCACGGGGGAGCGGGTGGCGCGGGGATGCTCAGTGACCAGCCACCCGCTCCGTGCAGGGCGAGCTGGTGCAGGAGGAGCTCTTTGTGGCTGTGGAGATGCTGTCTGCAGTGGCCCTGGTTAATCAAGCCCTGGAGGCTGGAGACTCAGATGGGCTCTGGAGCAGCCTCGTCAGCCCTGCCCTGGGCCTGTCGGATGTGGAGGATGCAAATGCCCAGCGGTGAGAGATGTCCTGCCTGCCAAGCAAGCCCTGGCTCCCAAGCTTGCTTGCTTCAAATGTGCTCAGCTGTCACGCCTCTGCAGGTATTTTGACGATTTAGTGCAGCTGAAAGGCCAAGCGAAGAAGCCAGGGGATGAGTTCCTGAGCTGGAACGACATCCAGGCCACTGTGAGTGGCACCAACTCCTCTGTGCAGAAGGAGAACAGCCGTGAGTGTCGGCTGCAGAGCCCTGGGTTGAGCAGAGGGCTCTACAAGCCACTTTAAAGGGCTGCACATACGAGCAGCTCAATGCTCATGGGAGTCTCTTGCAGCCCTGTACTGTGGATGGGCTGAGCACCTGTGGGTGCTGACACCAGTACTCATCCCCCTGTGCAGAAGTCCTTGCTGTGGAGCTCATCAATGAGGCGCTGCTGCAGGATGACCCCAAGAAGACTTTGGAGGCCCTGCTTCTACCAGCGGCCGGCCTGGCTGGCATTGCTCCTGTTGCTGCCAGGCGCTACCACTATGTCCTGAGCCGGGCAAGGCGGTTGAAGGCACAGGTAGGTGTCGGGCTCTGTCGGAGCTGCACGTGCTTGGTGCTGTCTTGGCGCTCTCCAGACCCTCCCTCCTCCCAATGCCCAGACCGTGGGGGATGACAGGGCTGCCCTGTGGTGGGACGAGATCCAACGCGGCATCTGTGAGGCCAACGAGGACACAGCAGCCACCAGGAGGAGTAAGGGCTCTTATGCCCCTCGTGACAGGGTGGGGGCAGATTCTGGGGCAACCATGTCTCACCGAGACCTGCCGTGTCCCCCCTGCTCTCCCAGTGGCCCTGGGTATCGCAGCCATCAACCAGGCCATCAAGGAGGGCAAGGCGGCGCAGACAGTGCGTGTGCTGCTCAACCCCGCTGTGGCCCTGCGCGGGCTGCTGCCCGCCTGTGCCCACGCCTACCAGCAGCAGCTCTCGGACCTTGCCGCCACCAAGGCCCCCACAGGTAAAAACAATGGAGAAAAAACGCAGCACTGCTCTCCCACGTGGCAGCAACTCGACAAGAGCAGCTTCCCCGCCCTGTTTTTCCTGACTCGGACTCGCAGGGAGCAGGAAGCCTTGCTGGGTCCGGCACAAGCTGGCGGATGGCACTGAGTATTTCCTGAGCCTGGAGACGTTGGAGGGCACCTGGGAGCAGCCTGTTCAGGGCACCCTCTGCACCACACACCTGAGCCGCGAGGAGATCCAGGTAAGGCTGTGATGATGGTGCCCGTGAGATCCGATGGGGACGTGAAAGCACTGCAGACACTGAGGTGATGTTTGATGGGGACCAGGGACGTGGTGATACTGCAGGTGCTGAGGCGACATTGTGGGGATGGGAGAGGATGGTGCTGTGGGCACTGAAGTGACCAGGGGGACCAGGGACATGGCAGTGCTGCAGGCACAGAGGTGACACGTGGCATCCCCCCTCACAGAGCGTTGTCACCCGCGTGACGGCAGCCTACGACCGGGAGCGCCTGTGGGCGGCCAACGCCAGCTTTGTCACACGGCTGCAGGCGCGAGCCAGGGGCTTCCTCGTGCGCCAGGCATTCGCCACCTACCGCCACGTCCTGCGCGAGCAGTGGCCAGCGGCCACCAAAATCCAGGTGAAAAATGACAACCCACATGTGCAGAGCCCAGGCCGCTGCTGGCTGTGTACCTCGGCTGCCTCGTCAGCGTAACTCATCTCTCCTTGTCCCCAGGCATTCTGGCGAGGCCAGCGGCAGCGCCAGGCATACCTGGCCAGGTTGCGCTACCTGCGAGCCAACACCGACGCTGTGGTCAAGGTGGGAAACTTGGTCCTTGGAGCCTGTTTCATTTATTTATTTGCCCCCATAAACTTAATTTGTCTCACTGTGGCTCGCATTGCCTTGGTGAAACAGTGTGTGCCATGCTGTCCACTGGAGAGACACGCAGCCCGAGTGTACAGTGCTCTACAAACTTCTTGAGTTGCCCAAAGGCTGCATGCTCGTGCAATCTCCACCAAGCAGAAACAAAAGCGGGGGTTAGATACAGAATATCTTACAGCAGGGCTCCCCAAACTGCTCAACTTCTCTCCTAGATCCAGGCATGCGTGAGGATGTGGCAGGCCCGCAAGAAGTACCAGGAGAGGTTGCTCTACTTCAGGAGGAATGTGAGTGTGGGGACTGCAAGGAACCGCCTTAAACAGCCCTGGGAGCCGCTGATGGGGGGCTGTGGGGGAAAAGAACCCAAAATGTGGCCAAACTACAGCTCCCAAATGCTTGCCACAAGTAGCAGGAGAGAGAGAAGGTGATGGATGCATCCTAGTGCTGGTATGGTGGGAAGGGAAACAGATCTCATGCCTAGTAGGCCAAATTCTTGAGTCCTATAAACAGTGGGCAGATAAAAATGCTGCAATTCCCTGAAAACCTCCAGGGTCAGCATGATGCTTGTCAGAAGGGAGTGAAAGTTGGGAGGGAAGGTGTCACCTGTAGGAAGCAAAGCTGCTCCGCAGAATCGCTGCAGGCTTCTTGGAGGCAAAACCCTGAAATCCCTCCTGAGATTTGGATATTCTTCCATGGGCAAGGAGCTTCCTAGAGTTGGGAAAAGCCCAGAGAAGCCAGGAGGGAGCAGCTAGCCAGCTGCTTGGATGACTCTTTGGCATTCCTTGTTTCCTGCAGGGATGCTATGGGGAACCTTTCCTCCTCTTTGCCCTTCTCACTCCCTTGTTTGTCTTGGCAGATTAAAGCTGTAATTAAAATCCAGACTTTTGTGAGAGCTAACAAGGCCCGTGGAGATTACAGGATGCTGGGTAAGTGCCTGCTCGTCTCTGCTCTGAAGTGGCTGTAATTAATTGGGGATGGGGATGCCACCTCCTTCATTTGCCCAACCTGGTCTGATAGATCTGTGTGGCAAATGCAAGCCCTGGAGGCTTGGTGCAGTTTGAGCAGCCTCAGGACTGTCCGTGCTGCACCTCTGCTCCTGAAGGTTCCCCTGGAGATGTGGTTGATGGAGAGCCCGGTGTGCTCCCATCCTGCACCCTTGGAAAGGGGCTACTGCCATGGGACATCGCTGCATTGGAAAAATGCTTTTTTCCTGCGGGAGGAAAAAGGAATGTTTTATGATATATTGGGAGCGTGAGGGTCCACGTGGGATGGGCACTCACAGGGCTGACATTCCTCCTTGCAGTCCATGCTAGGAACCCACCGCTGAGCATCGTCCGGCGCTTCATCCATTTGCTGGAGCAGAGCCAGCATGACTTCTGGGAGGAGTCGGAGCTGCTACAGCTGCAGGAGGAGGTGGTGAAGAGGATCCGGGCCAACCGGCAACTCGAGAGCGACTTGGACCTCATGGACATCAAGATTGGGCTGCTGGTGAAGAACAGGATCACGCTGCAGGTTGGCGAGTGCCGACAGCTTGGCCACCAAACTTGGTCTGCCCTGGCTGTTGAGCAGTGCTGACACGGCCTCATCACCTTGGTGTTATAGCTAAAACTTCCTTCTACTTTGTTTTTAAAGCAGTTCAAGGGATGTAGATATCTTCTGGGTGCCTTTAGCTCTTTCCCTAGAAGCTCATCTGAAATCTGGAGCTTGCTTGCAGTTCTCAGTGCTTCTGCTCAATCCTTGCCTGGGGCTTTTCCAGGAGGTAGTCTCCCACTGCAAGAAGCTGACCAAGAAGAACAAAGAGCAGCTCTCGGAGATGATGGCCATAGACAAGCAGAAGGGGCTCAAATCTCTCAGTAAGGAGAAGCGACAGAAGCTAGAGACCTACCAGCACCTCTTCTACCTGCTACAGGTGAGGGTTGCAGGGCCCTGGTGCAACCCTGGTCCTGCAGCACGCAGATGCCATTGTCACACCTCATCCCTGCAGACCCAGCCTGGCTACCTGGCCAGACTCATCTTCCAGATGCCCCAGAACAAGTCCACCAAGTTCATGGAGTCGGTCATCTTCACTCTTTACAACTACGCGTCCAACCCACGGGAGGCCTACTTGCTGCTCCAGCTTTTCAAAGCTGCCCTGCAGGAGGAGATCAGGTGGGTGGCCACAGGTTTGGGAGAAAGATCTGATTTGGGGAGAGACCTGGGAAAAGGCTAGGAGCTTCAGCTTGGATACAGTTATTCCCTCAGGCTGTGGGCTCTTTGCTTACAGCTCTGCTGGGGTTCATCTATGTGATAGTTCATGTTCATCCCCTCACTCTCTCTAGGTCCAAAGTGGACCACATCCACGACATCTTGACGGGGAACCCCACAGTGATCCGACTGGTGGTTAGCTTCTATCGCAACGCCCGTGGGCAGAACGCCCTGCGGCAGATCCTGGGTGCTGCTGTGCAGGAGGTCCTGCAGGACAAGACCCTCAGCATCCGCACCAACCCTGTGGACATCTACAAGGCTTGGATCAACCAGATGGAGTCGCAGAGTGGTCAGAAAAGGTGAGGCCTCAGGGGAGAATGCTTTGCCTGGAGACATGCTGATGCCATCACTGTGACGAGGTTCTTCTACCTGCAGCAAGCTACCATATGAGGTCAGCCCCGAGCAGGCCCTAAGCCACCCCGAGGTCCAGAGGCGGCTGGATATTTCTATCCGCAACCTCCTAGTGATGACAGACAAGTTTGTCTCTGCCATCATCTCTTCAGTGGATAAAATCCCGTACGTATCTCAATGGTTTGTAGCCCCTTTCTCTACTAGGTTTCCAACCTGAATTTTACTTCGGTGAGGCCCTAGAAAGGGAGCTTTGGCAATGTAGGTCCTCCCTGCCCCTTAGCTGCTCTAGGATGGAGTTCTCATGGTGGAGGATTCAGAATCAACAGGCATTGCTGTGTCTACCCTTCCAGGGGTGCCCTGACTGGCTAGCACTTCACGCTCCAACTTGAGTATTTGAGTGCTTTGCTGCTGGTCAAGGTGTCTGCAGGGAAGAACGTGAGCTTCAAGGGAGTCTTAGAGAATGGAGGCTTCCTACAGGGATGTCTAAATGGGTAGAGAAGGGACAAGAGAGGGGTTGGAGAGATCAGGGCTTGTGCAACCCGCAAGCGCTTTGCCATGTCTATGGTTCCTCCATTGCCTGGAGGCACTGGAATAACCTAGATCACCAAGCTCAGCAGTGATGCTCTTGTGTAAGGCTCAAATTGGCCATCTAGCTGGAGATCAGGCAGCGTGGCCAAGTCCGGCCCTGCTCCACATGCTAAGCGAGCTCTCTCCTGTCCTCTTCTCAGCTATGGCATGCGCTACGTGGCCAAGATCCTGAAGACTTCTTTGGCTGAGAAATTCCCTGAGGCTTCAGAGGAAGAGATCTCCAAGGTGCTGGGGACCTGTGCTACCTGGTGGGGGTTAGGCCATACGCATGTGCAGCAGTGTAGGATCTCATTCAAGGCCATGTTAATAGAGCGGTTTTAACTTCTCTCCTAACTTGAAGCTGCATTCAAGTTGGAATGGTTTCCTTAAGCCAATAAGGAAATGCCAGCTCTGAAAATAGTTCTCACCCTGAGTCTTCAGCCCACATGTTCCCCTGCCCTGACATGACACCCCCTCCTGTCCCTTGGCCTAGATCGTTGGTAACCTGCTCTACTATCGCTTCATGAACCCCGCGGTGGTGGCTCCGGATGGCTTCGACATCGTGGACATATCAGCGGGGGTGGCCCTCCACCCCGACCACCGCCGCAACCTGGGCTCCATCGCCAAAGTGCTGCAGCATGCAGCTGCCTGCAAGGCCTTCGATGGGGAGAACGCCCACCTGAGGGTGGTGAACTGCTACCTGGAGGACACCCACAAGAAATTCAGGTGAGTGCCTGGACAGTGCCTGCTTCTCTGTGGGACCTACCTGTATTTTTGGGGGGTGCATGGTGTGGGATGTCCGGACACCTCATCTGTCTAGGGGCAAGCAGAAGACAGTGACCCTAGAAATGAAAAGAGGAATGTGCCGTGGAAGAAGGGAGGGATCTGGCTAAAGTCAGGGATTTCAGGACTCACTGAGAGGTTCTTCCTTGCAGGGAGTTCATTTCTGCTGCCTGTTGTGTCCCGGAGCCAGAAGAGCGCTTTAACATGCATGAGTACTCGGAGATGGTGGCGGTGGCCAAGCCGGTCATCTACATCACAGTGGGGGAGCTCATTAACACGCACAAGGTAAGGGATCCCCATGATCTTACCCATGGAGTAAGATTCCCCCATGAGACGAGCGGGTTTCATGCAAAACTGCCTGACCTCAGCACAATGCTCACCATCACGATGTGCGTTTGGGCCGTTTGTTATTTGGTCATGTTCCTGTTCTTACGCAAGCAAATGATTCAGATTCTGCAGGTTCCCTGCTGTTCGTCCTCTCCTAAACCTCTCAGCTTTGCACTGCACTTGCTTACGAATGCAAAGGCAGCCGTGTCATTCCTTACTGCACCGGCCTTTATCCTGAATCCTATCTCTTCTTGTTTTCCCTCTGCCCGTCTCTTCTCCTTTGGGTTATCCAGCTCCTGCTAGAGCACCAGGACTCCATTGCACCACTTCCTGGGGACCCCCTGCATGAACTTTTGGAAGATCTTGATGAAGTTCCAACAGTCCAGGTCCTTGTTGGTATGTACAGCCCTCCTGTGACTTCAAGAGCCAGAGCAGTGGGGATGTGTCCATGCTATAACGCAGGATGTGGTGTGACTGCCTTGTCTCTCGTACAGAGAAGATTTAATCTTCTGCAAGCATATGTGCTCCCTTGCAGCTTGAGGACTCCTTGCACTCCTGCTGCTCCTTGTTCCTTGCAGGTGAAGGTGCTCCCGACCCAGCAGACAGCACTGCAGAGCAAGCGCTCTCCCAGCTGGCCAAGGCAGAGATCTCTCTCACTCTGACGAGTAAGCTTGTGCTGCAGGAGAACAGTGAGGAGGCTGATGTGAAGAGCTTGCTGCTGAGGTGAGGATGTGCTTCGGGGTGCAAGGGGTTGGGGATGGCTGTTGGGGACAGTCCCCAGTTTCAGGGGAGTATGAGGGTGGGTGAAGCTAGGTCGAGTGTTAAAAGGGAAGCAAGAAATGTTCATAACTTACTAAACTTGTGAGAGGGGAGTGGTCTGAAACGGAGCACCTGACTCTTCTTTCTCACATCTAGCACCAAGCAAATGCTAGTGGACGTGATCCAGGCCCAGACAGGAGATTCCCTTTTGGAGATCCTGCAGACACCGGCATCAGAGGAGGAGGTGGGATGCTCATGGGTGAAGTGCTGGCTGCCTGGAGACACGGGCCAAAAACCTCTTTTTTAGGGGAAAAAGCAAATGTACTGCAGGCCTTATGCTGTCCTGCTTCTGGCCCCTTGTCCCTATGTCCCCATGGTGGCTGTCTCCAGCAGTGCTCCCGTGAAACATCCCACCCCATCTCATCCCCCAGGAGGCTTCCCATGCCCACCTCATGCACAGGCGGTTGCTGAGGGATGCCCAGACCCCTGAAAAACTGAAACGCAACCACTCGCTTGCTGGGAACAGCCAGCTCTCCATGGAGGAGAAGAAGCGTAAGGTCATCCGAAATCTGCGGCGCTTGGAGAGCCTGGGCCTCGTGGATTCCACTGATGAGTACCAAGGGCTTGTTAACGAGATGGCCAAGGTGAGCTGTGTGCAGAGGAGTGAATGGCTGCTTGGGTGTGGATTGGACCGTGCTGTAGGTCTTGGGCACTAGCCTTGATGTCACCTCAATCTGGAGTCAAAACCCACCTGGCATCCTGTTCCTGGACCTTGTTCAGAACTCCAGGTGGGTGATGCTGACTTTATTTTCTCCAGGACATCCGCAACCAGCGGCGTTATCGGCAGCACCGCAAAGGGGAGCTCCTGAAGCTGAGACAGATCCTCCAAGGGTTGAACTCCAAGACCTTGTTTTATGAAGAGCAGATTGACTATTACAACCAGTACATCAAGACCTGCCTCAACAACCTGGCAGCCAGCAACAAGTAGGTTTGCTTTGTACCCCAAAAAATCCTCAGTGAACCAAAATAATCCACCGTGGATCTCTGGAGGTTGTGAATATTTAATGCACTTGGTGTTAGAGGAGTTTTCCGTGGTGATGACCAAGTCTGTGGTCCCATCTCTTGCAGGACCAGTGGGAAGAACAAGAAGCTACAGCCATTGCACTACACAGCGGCCCGACTGTTCGAGAAGGGGGTGCTGCTGGAGATTGAGGACTTGCCACTTAGCCAGTACGTGGTTGGAGACGAGCTATTGCAGTCCAGGTTTTGCAGTGGGTAAAGCAAAACCACTTGGAGAGGGATCCCTGTATCCCTGTAGTTTCATCACCCGCCATGGACAGGGCAAGCTGTTTGAGGTGCTGCCATGGCAGAGCTGGGATTTAGAGGTGGCTTTTGTAGTTGTCCATCTGAATTCATCCATGAGGATGGGGCTGTTGGATGGCTCCAGATGGAGTGGCAAAGGCCCAGCCTTGGTATCTGGATCAAGTGATCCCCCACCGTTCCCTCTAGGTTCAGGAACGTGATTTTTGACATAATCCCCTGCGAGGAATCGGGCAAGTTCCAGGTGAAAGCCAAGTTCATGGGCATCGACATGGAGAAGTTCCAGCTCCACTACCAGGTGGGCAACCCCTCGCAGTGCACCCACGTGTGGCAGCTCTCAATGAAGCCACAGGAATGGCTTTGAGGGGAGGTCCAAGCTCAGCCTTCAGGGAGGTGGGAAGTGGATGGGGTTATTGATGGGTGCTGTGGTTGGGAGAGGCTCTGATATCTCTCCTCCAGGACCTGCTACAGCTGCAGTATGAGGGTGTCGCTGTCATGAAGATGTTTGACAAGGCCAAAGTCAATGTCAACCTGCTCCTTTTCCTCCTCAACAAGAAGTTCTTCAAGAAGTAACTGGAGTGAGGGGCAGGTGGGAGGAGAGGGGAGGCTACTGTTGGGCATCCCAGGATGGGGGGGGATGGATAGAAATGCAAAAGTGTCAAAGGGAAGACCTTAGGGGGAGTGTCCTGGGACCAGGTGGCCCCTCTGCAGCAGAGAGAGCTTCCTCAATGGGACTCCGGACCCGGCATGCTCGAGCTTTTGCAGCAAATGGCATCTCCCTGGGGAGGGCATCCCTTTTTCCTGAATGCTAGAGGCAATTTCTGCCTTCTCCGCCACACTCCAGCCTCAAAAGCAAGGGCTCACTGAACCAAAGTTAGACGTGAGCCTCCTCTAGGCAAGCTGCTTTGGCTCCAGTTTCTGATCAAAGCTTGACCAAAGTCTGGCCAACCCCAAAGAATACTATGTGCCCTCAGCAAAGCAGCTGGGAGCATCTTCTTTCCAGCTTGGCTCTGGAGCAACTCGGTACCTGATTATCTAAGAGGTGACCGTCTCCCTCCAGAAGGGAAGACGAGGCTGCTCTATCTTTCATGGCACGCGGAACTGGTTTTAAAGCTCTAACTTATGCATATTTTGGCTGTTTAGTACCTGTGTCACTAACAGCTAGCTGCTTCAGGACACTAAGGAGTGCTGGATGCTAGACAAATGTTAGCAATAAAGTAAAGGTATCTAATATATTTTTTTTTCTTTCTCCCCACTAGTTAAAAATGGGGAAATATCAGGATTGGTTAGTAGGGGGAGTGGAAATGCAGGAATGGGCTCTGCAGTTGCTGCTTCTGAAGACCCTTTGGGCTGTTCCAGAGGAAATTAAGGTGCAATAGTAGAAAATATTTTATTTTTAAATTGGGTTTCTCTGCATGCTGTGGCTGCTCTCTCCAACTAGACTGATGGGACGAATATCATCCCTAATCCCCTCCCGGGCTGGTTGGAGCCAGCCGCTGCTGCTGGCTCCGTCCCTTGCAGCCACATGGACACCTAGCAGCTTTGGGGAACAAAGCCCTGTTTTGGTGATGTGAAGGATGAGGAGCCCCCATCAAGGTGCAATGCTCCATGCAAAAGGCATGAGTGGGGAAGAGCCGCATGCTCTGGCCTTGACCACGGAGGTGGCTGCTGCCTTCTCCCCTGATTTATTAGTGTTTAATCGGGTTTTAATGACAGGGCAGGGAGCTGGCACGCACTTTTTCCTTCCAGTCTGTCTTGTCTTTGGAAAGTCTGTGTGTCTGCATTTTTAATGTGTTTTTCTGTCATGTAAATGCTGAATATGGCACTTGTGTCCCTACCACGCATGCGCCGCATCCCAGCTGCCAGAGCTGTCTTGATTTATTCTAAATAAAACATATATAAGAAAACACTTTGTGTGCTCGTCTTTCTTTAAACCGAGCTCTGCTCTTGCCCCATCTCTGGTTTTTGGATGGCTGTGGCTCTCCATAGTCCTCAGTGATCCCTGGCCAGGGGGAGAGTGGCACTGGGGCTGTGCTGAGTCAGGTGCTGATGCAGCAACTCGGTGCTCACGTGGGGAATTTGGGACACTTTTGGTGGCGCTCAGTTCTTGTATAAATACTATGATTACATCTCCTAAAGACTATGATTATATCTCTAAAGGAAGGGATTGAGAGCAAGCTCCAGCGTGCTGCAAGTTTTAAAAGAGGGCCAGGCTGCCGTTAACCATTTGGGTCCTGCACCAAAATATAGGGGAAAATGCTTGGAAAAGTTGGAAAATTGTGTCTTTTGCTTTCTCTCTGGCAGCTGCTCCAGCTGGTTGCTTTTCCCACTGCAGCTCCATGCTGTTCATTTGCCATTAGCTTGCTCTGCAGCTGCTATAAGCTTGTCAGGAAAGTGAGACCTTTCTGCAATGTTTATTGGGAAAACGGCGAGGCCGGGAGGAGTTGGAGGGGGAAAGGGGGGTGTTCCATAAAGCCCTTGCAGAATTTATTATAATCCTGAATATTTTGCCTTGCAGCTGTCACCGCAAGGGGAGGCTCCAGCCCCAAGGCAGCAGAGCTGGGGGCAGAGGCTGGTTGTGGCCCTGGTGTTTCGCGCCCGTCCTCTCCTTGTGCACATCCGCTAGATGTCAGCGCGAGCACTGGCATCCTGGCCGGCATTCCCAAGGGATGCGCAAACAGTTCCGGCTCAGGCCGCGCAAGCCCCGGAGCAAGGAAAGGGTTGGAGAAAGGGGAGCAAGTGCGCAGGGGTGCAGACACGCTCGGGAGCCTCTCTGCACAAAGGGGTGCTCAGCCCTGAGCCACTTGCTCCGCGTGGGAGCACATTCTTCCTTTGCTCTATTGCTAAAAAGGAAAAACGCGAGGTGGGGAGAAGGGAAAGCATGGGTGCCTTTTCCAGAGGCCGTGACGTGCTCGTGCTCGCTTCCCCTCTCCGTGCAGCCGCTGGCACTTGCAGCCCCGTGGAGAAGCGTGCGGCGCTGCCGAAGGCGCCGCAGCCCCAGTTGCCACGCAACCCCCAGCCGTATCTTTCCTGCCTCCAGCTCCCTCCTCCTTTGCCGATGGGATTGCCTCTGGCAGCATGCCTCATCCGCTGGCTTGGTGGGCTTGGAGAAAAGAGACCCCTGCCAGAAGTGGTATGTACACGTATAAGTGCATATGAAAGAGAGAAATAAGGGTATTTTTATGCATTTTGCACTATTTCAAGCCCCAGCTTGGTGGCTATCAGGGTGCCAGCCCTGGCACGCGGGATTTGCAGCCGTTAAGCAGCTTGGAGGCAGCTGCCAGGTGCAATCAGGGGTGACGGGCACAAAGTGACCCTTGGAGGCCACTGGCCTCCTCGAGGTGAGAGAAGGGCCTCCCAGAGCACGGGGGCTGTGGGTTTTGGCGGGTACTGGGGAGCAGCAGCTGAGGGAGGGTGCTGGGGAGCTTGCTGCGACAGGGTTGCCCCGTGCTTGCTTTGGTGAGCCTGCAGGAATGTGTGCAACAAAAATGAGCCAAAGTTGCAAAACTAGCCCCAAAACGGTGCTGAGGCATCCTTAACCCCCCTCCGCTGAGCATGGTGGAGGGGCGTCACGTGCCACCGAGACGCTAATCCCGCTCTGCAAACCCTCTCCCGGCTAATCCGCCGCGCCGGCGCACTTGCACAGGCTCTGGATTTACCTCGGTGCAGACGGAGCCAGGATTTTCCTCACCCGGCACCAAAAGAGCTGCTCGCCTCCGTGGCCTCCAGTGGCCTCCTCCCTGAGGATGCCCCATGCGGAGAGGTGCTGAGCCCCCTGGAAAACACTGGCTGCACAGAGCCTGGTGCCAGCATCCGCAGGGCCAGGCCTTCCCGTGCACAGCTTCGCGCCGATATCCAGGCATCCCGGGAAAAGCCCACAAGCTCCCGAGTGGGCATTCATCCTGCTCAGCAAACCCAAGCACGCCCTGGAGGTAGGTGAGCGCCCGCAGCCTCCCCCGGAGCAGCCGCATCCCGCGGGCACGGCGCGAGCTTCGCACGCGCGCCGCGAGCATCGCCCTTCTCCGTGGCTGCCAGCAGCCTCCTCGTGGGAGAGGGGGAAAAAGCACAAACCGGAGCGGGGAGAAAATAAGAGGGGAATGTTTGCCGACTGTCTGCTGAGTGTTGTTGCTGTTTTGTTGTGTTTCTGCTGTTGCCTGGGCAACCCCGGGGAAGATGTGCCAGGCTTGAGCATCACGGGCACCAGCGCGCTCGGGCCAGCTCGCTTCTGCTCGCTTGGGCAGCGCCAAGCGAGCTCAGCAGGGAACAACCTCCAGCGAGGCCTCCACAGCGTTCACAGGGCCATGGTTGCCCCCTGCCCAGCTTGGCTGCTGGGCCCCCGACAAGCCTGCAGCGGGTTCCTCCTGCGGCTCTGAGCTAAGCAAGCAGCTCTAAGGGACAACGAATTCGCCTCGTGCTTTGGGGAAACGGCTGCTTTTCCCCTTGCTCCTTGCGCGGGGAGGATCGGGGACAGGGACATGGGGGCATCCGTGGGGGCAGCTGGCAGCACAGGGCAGGCTGCAAGCGCTTGCTTGTGGGGCAGGGTGTCCCCAGCACGCAGCACACGCTCCCGCAGCCGAGCGAGCAGTGCCAGCCGTCAGGACAGTGGTACCTGCGGGTATCCTCCTTGACCATTGCTGTGAGCTAAAGGCTCCCAGGGAGGCTCGCTCGCCTCCCGCATGCCCGGAAAGGCCACAGGCGCCCGCCAGGTAGAGGTGCCCATTTAATCAAGTAGTTTAATTGCTACGTGGCTAAATGGTGCTCATTTGAGCCCAAACCTTTGGGAAGCGGCAGCTTGTCCCCTGAGGAATTCCGCCCTGCACTGGGAGGGGATTCACATCTGTCCCAGCCACAGGGACAACACCGCTGTGCAAAGAAACACACAAATTTCCCTCCACTCCATCCTGGGAATGGGCACTGGGAATAAAAACTGTGAGCTGGAAAAAAAAAAATCAAATCTGCATGGATAAGGGTCCAAAAAAACCCTGCCAGGGTGCATTAAAACCTGCAAAAGCTCCCGGCTCCCTTTTTGGAGGGTGCCCCGCTGCAAACTCAGCTGGTGGGAGCGATTCCTCCCGCCCTGGCTCATTTCCCGCTCGGTGGCCCCCATCCCCTCCCTGCTTCCAGCCCAACGGGTGCAGCCGAGAGTGGGAACAGGTCGAGCAAGCGCTGCCCGGCCAGGGCGGAACAGGGAGATTCCTGCAGTGAGGGCGCAGTCGCTGCGACCCTCCGGGCCACAAAAACCCCTCTCAGTGCATGGTTTCCTCCCGCCAGCTCTGGGGAGTGAGCGAGCGAGTGAGCAAGAGCGCCCGGGTGCCAAATCTTGGCTGGATTAGCTAAAGGGATCAGCAGTGCAGGGATTAGCGAGGAAAAGCGAAGCCCTTCACATGCAGCTGCAGAGGAAGCCCGAGGAGAGGAGTGCGAGGCCAGGCACCGCATCTCTGTGACCCCTGGAATAAGCACATTTCCTTAAAATGGGAATCCACCGCTCGATCTTGAGTCTGGGTCCAGGTACGGGGGGAGTGTGCCAGGCACCAGCCCGGTGAGCGCTTTGGGGACGATCCACAGGACAAGTGCCGTGGCCGA